TAGAAATCAACACTACCATGCAAATAATAATCCAAGCTCATTCTATGACCTTAACAAAAGCAATAAAAAAAGAAAGAGACTTTACAAAGAACAAAATGCACTATTCCTAACACACCCGAATTTAACATCATAAGAAGTACTCAAATTACATAGGAAGCAACACATGCAAAAACAAACTGAAGGAAGATCATTTGAGACACCCCAATTGGCAAAACAGGATCATGGTGCCCAGAAGACTTTGCATGCTGAGAAAGAGACTCATCTGGAACCATCACCCTCACAATCATCTTCTGTCCCTTCTCACAATGCCCTGATGCACCACTTATGAAGTAGAAAGTCCTCGAGTGTTCAAACCTGAACACAGTGTTTCCAATGTTGGAAAAGAAAGTTGGGTGAGTGGCATTGCAATCCTTGTAATCTTCCTCACCGATCTCCATCACAGAGTCCTTCTTGTACCTAAAATCTACACAAAAACAAAATAAAAAAGCAAAAAATTAGTTGGTTACTAATATACCCTTTTGTTTCCTTATGAAGAAAAATGTGTTTTTTATATGTTATGTGCATGGGAAAGAGAATACTATATAGGAGAGTGATGAGTTGCATACAAATGGTGTCACCAACATGGAACCTGTTGTGTGAGGCCCAATCATTGTACATGTTTGTGTCATTGGCTGGTGGAACAACCCACCCTTTTGTGTCTCCGACTTGGAACTCACTTGAAGCCACAGAGAAACATTGTGGAACAGAGAAAATGGCTAAGAGAAACACAAGTAGACCCCATGGAGGAAGAAGAACAAGCCATTGCAAGTATGAGAGAAGGCAAGAGGAGAATAAGTGCACAGAGTTTTTTTTTTTTGGTGAAAGATGCACACTATGGTGTTGTGGAAAGTGGAAACTCTATCCTTAATATATGGAAATGAGGTAATTGCTGATCTTTCGTTCTACTTTGATTGATCTTTAACATTGGAAATTCCATATCCAGCGTGGTACTGAAAGATGTTGGACCATTTTCGAATATGCTTAATTATTTAATTATAGTATACCATTGGTACACAAGTAACAATTAATATATTCTTAAAATGCAATCTAATCAATTAAGGTGCTAACTGGCAAAGAAAAGATTAATTAAAAAAAAATATATTGTTTAAAAATTATGAATAAATGATAAAATAATTAATAAAATTTATTTTTTAAGTTTTGAATATAAATAAAAATATATATCATAAAAACGGAACCGAATACTTTAAATCAAGAACATCAACAGATTAGTGCTCATTTGAACTTGAAGTAGTTTATTTTAAAATAAAAAAGAATATTTAAAATATAATAATAAAAATAATATTTTAATAGCTTCAACATAATATAACGATGAAATTTGTCCCTTATTCTTTTTGATAACCAGAATGAAAATATTCACGAAGAGAGGTATAGATTTGAATAACTAACGTCACCTTTCAAATCACAATCATCAATAAATTATGTATTTGAAGTAATTTATTTTAAAATTTTAAAAACTAGTAATTTTTTAATTTTGGAATAAAACTTTTTGAAAAAAAACCCATTATTCCTTCAAAATTAAACTTTTCCATATATTAAGAGTTAATACGCTGATTGGCTTGCAATTACCTCATTTGAGCTTTGGATTTGATAATTAATTTGACTTGGTCATTTGGGTCTATCATATAGGAAATTTGGTGGGAAAATATAGATATATTCAAGCAGAAAAAAGAAGACAAAAATCTGCTATCACGACTGACTTTAAGGTACTTAGTGTTTTTTTTTTCCTTGCTTTCTTTGGGAATTTATAATTTACCAAAATTTTGTTTTTTAAAGGTGCTACTTTTATTCCATTTCAAAAGCATGCAAAGCACGTGGAGAATGTTCACTTCATGTATTGGTCAGAGGTGACAGATTATTCTTAGTAGTTTTGTTAAAAGACTCTTTAATCTCATGAGTAAAAAGGGAAAACGTACAATTTTATTATATCTATATCTCATGAGTAAAAAGGGAAAACGTACAATTTTATTATATCTATATAACATTTGTATTATATCTAACAACATCTAGTCATTGGTATAGCACTAAACAAAAGCACACAAAGGGGAAATGGATTGAAGACTATACACGATATGACAGAACAGTGATTATTTTGTCACGTTTGACAAAAAAATTTACCAAACTGCTACGTCAACAGTAAATTTTGTCAAAATGCCACGCAACATATTTCGCTACACTGTGTAGCGAAACATGCAATGTCAGGTTGCACAGTCAGCAAAAATGACACGTGTCAAGCAGGCATAATTCAAGCATAATTCGCTACACAGTGTAGCGAATTTCTGCCTGCTTGACACGTGTCATTTTTGCTGACTGTGCAGCCTGATACGACATATTTCGCTACACTGAGTAGTGAATTACTAGCAAACATATTTCGCTACACAGTGTAGCGAAATATGTCGCGTGGCATTTTGGCAAAATTTACTGTTGGCGTGGCAGTCTGGTAAATTTTTTTGCCAAAGTGTGACAAAATGGTCACTCATCCCGATATGACACATTGTTTTACAGGATAATATATATATATATATATATATATAACATGATATTCTTATGAAATTTCCAAATCTCTTGCATGTTCAGACTCTTGATCAGAATCGGCATTAGTTCTTGTGCCTTTGAAGGATTTCAAACTAATAATTCGACGAAAAGCACTTTTTGATCTGATTATTTTTGAAGCTCCATGCTTGTCAGCAAGCTCATTAGACAATATTTTTACAAGATAATCGAAGCGCCGCTTGTAGGTTGGGAACCTTGTGATAAATTTGGTGATCCGTTGGAGCCTGTGTAATAGATATGAAACTAAAATCAAAGGAGAATAAAATATATAAATAATCATTTTCTATTAAATCCCGACTAGTAAAGATAGGAGTGAGGATAATTCTTATACGCAGTCTTATTAAAAGTAACTAACATGATTTGGTCCGATAGATATATACCTTCTAGCCAATGCATCAAGTTCAGCAAGTTTGATGTCAGATTCAGGTGCTGTGCCAATAAGTGAATTTTTTACCCTATTGGGATCACCACTCAAGAGAACCAATTTGCAAAGTTAATCCTCTTCTGACACAGAAAGATTCACTGCTTTGATTTGTTCTTTAATAATCAAAAGGGGATTAAGGAACCATTCAAAAAAATTCTCCTTTGGTCTGTTTGTGGTAGTTAGTTCAATATCATCACCTGTATTAAGGAAGCAAGCAAAATGATTTCATCAAGATGATTAAAAGCAAATAATCTTGAAAATCAGAAGCAAAAGGGGCAGCAAGTGTTCAACTTACTTATCAATATACCAGAGCCCAGAGGAATTGGCTTTTGCAGAACACAAGAGTGCTTGGAGAAGGCAATATGTTGGTAAACCAATAGTAATGACTCTACTCCCTTTACCAGACATAGCTTCTTGTATGTCTTCATGTGTTATTAGTCTTACAGAAACTAGTGTTTCTCCCACCTTATGATATTTCTTGAACAAGCCCTCCAACAGCTACACAAGTTATGAACAGTGTTTATTTAGTAGAGCCCCCAAAGCATGATGCAAAACATGAACAAAAAAAGAGTAATATGTGAGTCATGTGTCATTGGACACAAAATATTAAAAAGAATACCTCAAGTTCTTGAGAAGGAATTTGAATGGGTAGCTGTCACTGACATTTCAGCCTTTTTTCGATATTGAGGTCTTCCAAACACAAATCAAGAGCATTAATTGCAGGTAACTCAACAACATGTATCAAGAAGCACTGCATAATAAAACCTTGGGAAGCAGGATCCTTCTGTCATGTCAAGAATATCATTGCTGTATTCATCATAAAGGGACAAAGCTGCAACAATGTACCGAAGGCCCAACAAGAAAGAAGACTCATGCATTTCATAGAACAAATAAACATATCTCATGCCTAAGAGAAATCAATGCATCAATAGTTTCAATATACTTTCAAGGTGTTATGGCATTATCATGCAAGCTGTTAGTTGAAAGGCATTCTTGAAGCTTACTTTCAAGGTGTTTTGAAATTTCAAACTTCTCCTACACTCTCTAAGTGGTTAAGTGTCAACTCTTTAAGGCTCACATCTTGCCTCTCAAATGAGTTGAGTACAAACTCAGAAAACGCACTCACCTTTTACACGAGTGGTATTGCCTATGATGAACTAGGAATTGGTGCTGAAATTTGTCCAGAGACAGTAACTGTTGAAAACTTATTTTTTATCCTTATCCCCAATTTTTCCTACAATTCACCATCAGTCTGTCTTTGGAATAAGAATCAGTCTAGATAATCATAGGAACAGTCGAGTAAGCCACCCACCAAAATGCTATGTATTTCACTCATTAGAAAAATGTTATCTAACTCTAACCCAAACATAACATAATAGGCTATGGTAACAATTGTATTTATGAGTGCTGAAAACTTATATGAGGATTTACTTGATAAGCAACAAGACCTGCATAGGTACCGGGAAAGATACTAGCTACCACAGATGCCAGAACTGCCCCAATAACTGACAGTGGCCACAGAAGGATAACAAGGCCTGCAAAAGGCACACATATTGTCTCCAAGAAAGGGCCTTCACGACCTATGAGATCATGAAACAAATGATTCCACCCTTTAAAAAGCATGTAAGGACCTTTGCATATGGCAGCAAATGATACAATTGGCATATCAACTACGATTCCGAGAACTGCAGCTACAACAGCACCATGGAGATAATGCAGCCTGCATCAAAACAGAGAAAAGAAACATCATTAAAATTTCACAACAGACCATCATATAATCAGAAAACATCATATGAAATATGGAATATCATGAGTCTTGTTTATTTGGAAGAAGAAAATTTTGAAGCTAAAATTTTGTTTTGCTTTGAAGTTCCCAAAATCTACCAGTACGTCTTACTTTTTTGACTTTCAAAGACACATTTTTGGATAATCTTTTGTTAAATCTAGCATAGACCACAGATACAACTAAAACATAAAATGCAAAAGAAAGAACAAAAGAGAAACAATTTAGTTTCACCTGCTTAGCCAAATTGGTAAGGAAGCAAATTTAGGAAACAACAGTTTTCATGCTGGTCATAATAGTTTCCGTACATCAGATTTTACTTGTTAATTGGAACTTCATATCCCATGAAAAGAGTTGTCATTCTCAAAGATCATACCTAGTGATAATGCCTTCTGTCAATATTTTCTATGACTTGCAATTATGTTTGGCATGCAAATGATGCATGATTAAAATCACCAGACCAACACAGAAGCAACTTATAAGTTTATGTCACGTTATAAATAGCAACATTTCTCGTTTTCTTTTACTCTTCCCATTCCATTTTTAAGGACTAATAACATATGACTTTCAAAAACTAATATCACTTAAGCTATTAATATTTCTTTTTCTTTTTTCTTTTGTTTGTTTTACACTTCTCATAACTATTTATAACTTTTTAGTTTTTTAATTATCCTTAAGTAGTTTCAAGGGGTTTTTTAACCTTTTAATTTAAAATTTAAAAAAAATTATTTATGCAACTAATGTAATTGTATCATGTTAGGGTTAACGTGACACAAAAAAAATTATTTTGTGTACCTTTTCAATTGTTTAGAAGTTGAGGTTGACATGGAAGCTATCAGTAGCGGTGTTCAAAACGTCCAAAAGAACCAAATCAATCCATAACCAAACTGCTCTATATTTTAAAAATCGATTATTTTTAAAAATCGATTTCATATGAAACTGTATTTTATTTTATAAACTGGTTATTTATCAAACTATAAAGATAATTGGTTATCCATAACCAAACTATTGTATAATCTTTTATCATGCCTATTATATTAGTCAATTGACTCGAACTTCCAAACAATAAATTAGCAAAAAAAATTAAACAGCTCAAGTAGAAAACATTCACTTAAAAAAAACTGCTCATATATCGAAAGCTCACATCCTAAGAAAACACTTCTTATGCAAGGTAATAACTTCCTCCCCCCACCCCCCCCCCCCTCCCAAAAAAAAAATCACATACGGACCTCCGGGTAAACTCACAACTTGACAAGGCGAAGGCTTTAAATTGACAAAGATGAGTTAAAAAATCATAACGAAAAGGGCAACGAAATTAATTAATTGACTTAACGTCTCTGAGATGTTTAAGATGATGAATCAACACCATTAAAAGGACAACTCACAACGAATTTATTTATTTGTTCTTTAATTGTAGAGCAGATTGATTATGAATAACCATGGATAACCAATTATTTTTATGGTTTGATAAAACAAATTTATAAAATAAAATACAGTTTCATATGAAACCGATTTTTAAAAATATCGATTTTTAAAAATACCGATTTTTAAATTGTGGAGCATTTTGGTTTTGGATTGGTTTGATTCTTTTGGACATTTTGAACACCCTTACATATACATTCCTCCATCAGTTCAAATGAACCTCTTAGTAACATAAATCTTGAGAGAGCGAAGGTCAATTTTTTTATAATTTAAAATAATTCAATTGTTCTTCTACAATCACTCTCACAATAACGTGAAGGAAAATTAAAACCGGTTTTGATTTAAAATCGATTTTCAATCAAAACCGATTTCAAACCAGTTTTGGAACCGGT